CTCTTCTGCATCCTTACTTGCTCCTTCCTTCCCAAAGGAAGAGGAATGACTTGTCTGGTGGCTTAGGGAAGGAGCCAGACTCAGGTCTTTCTTGATTCTCCTTTCTCTTTCTCTGCCTCTGGTTAGTTCTGCTGTAGTTCAAGGTATCTCATTCTCCATCTACCTTCTGGGTAAACCTATAGAGGAGATCCTGCCCCTACAAGGGACGGGTCTGCCCTTTCATGGGTGCACAGGATGCTTAGTTGTGGGAGTATGTTAGCAATTTCATTTGGCTAGTGAAATTGTTCTCCAATCAACTGTATCAGTAATACTGATAAAACCTTTTTTTTTTTTTTTTTTTTTTAGAAAAAGGAAAAAGAAATTGTATTGCTTTGCTAGCAAAGGAGAAACAAGGGGACTCCTGCCCTAGAGGAGTCTCCCCATCAGGGGGGAACATGGATTTTTTTGGTTTGTTTTTGGTACTGGGGATTGAATCCAGAGCACCTAACCACTGAGCATCCTTTTTTTTTTTAAATTTTGAGACAGGATCTAACTAAGTTGCTTAGAGCCTCTCTAAGTTTTCTAGGCTGGCTTTGAACTTGCAATCCTCCTGCCTCCGCCTCCTTAGTTGCTGGGGTTACAGGTGTGTGCCACCTCATCCATGAACAATTCAAGGCTACATTCCTCATGTTCTCTGTCAGGAGTTGTAATTGACTTGTTAATTTGGAAGATAGTCATTTCTTAGATCATCTGGTGCCATCCCCAAGTCTGGATTACTTTGTTCCTGTGGTTGGTGTGTGCTCAGGGACAGATAACTCTGCCTAGGATGGGGAAGAGAGGCAATCCTGTTTTCCCCAAAACCAAGGATGAGGAAAGATTAGGRAAGGGGAGGGAGAGGAAGAGAAAGAACGTGTCTGTTTTAAAAATAAGTTGCAGTGGCAGAGCAGCAAGGGCTACATTCAAAGCATAAAGTGGACCACTGTTACCTTTCCCCACTGTCAATTTCTACATTCCATTTCTATGGAAAGATGGGCTATGGCATCTCTAAACTGCTTCCCATAGAAAGAGGGCAAGTTGGGGAAAGTGACCGAAAGTCCTTGTTCGTTATTAGGTGGGGCATGGACAGTTAAGGGTATTCCACATCAGAGTGGTGCAGAGGTCCATGGTGGCAGTTAGCAGGTGACTGGACAATGCATACCTAGGGAAAGGATCATGCAGATGGCCAAAGAAGTCGTGACTTTACTGTATTCAGTTTCCTTTTTCTTTCTTTTTTACATGTTGCTGGACCTTTATTTTATTCATTTATTTCTATGCAGTGCTGAGAATTGAACCCAGTGCCTCACCCATGCTAGGTAAGCGCTCTACCACTTATGAGCCACAACCCCAGCAGTTTCCCTTTTTTTGAAGTGGACCAAGATGTAGCAACCCATACCATTCCAGGAGAGAAGGCAAGAGTTCCCTGAAGCACGAGGAGCTTTGGCAGCTGCTGGGACATCCCTTGTCCCTCTCTTTACTTATAGGAATAGCTTCTCTGGTTCAACCCAAGGCAAACTCACTCAACTCCTAACTTTCCAGCAGTTAGCTCTCAACAACTTTGCCAGCCACCTTGCATCCTCAGCATASWAGTGGCATTGCTTGGAGTACCAGGCCTGCCCCAGAAAGCTGGAGTGAGGGCTATTCTCAAGTCCCATCTGAATCACCAATTTGTTATGGAAAACTTGGTCTTTGTCTCCAATGTCAATCTAATAATGAGAACACAGTTTTGAGGAAAAGGAAAAAGAAGTTTTATTGCTTTTATACCAAAGGAGAAACATAGGGGACTCCTATTCCAGAGGCTGTGATTCTAAGGCATCTGTCTTAGAATGATGTCCATCTGTCTCATGTCTTATTTCCCAATCTATTCTGAACTTGTCCCCTGCTAGCACAGAAAGCCTTTGATGGGTGGTTAGCACCAGGGGCAGGGGTGATGGGGAGAAGGACACCTGGTGGATAGGGTGAGCAACACATGATGGATACAGCGGGGAGAAGGCTGGAAGTGGGCAGGACCAAGCCAAAGTATAAAAGTTCAAACAYGTTGGGGCTGTCCTGTTCCCTGCCCACAAACCCACCAGCTCCCTTCCTTCACACATTATTAGTCCAGTGATTGATAAATTCTAGATTTCTTGGGCATCAAGACCAGTTGGCATGAGCTGTCCTCTCCTTCTGTGCCTCACCTCAGGAATCCCTAGTCTCCCTCCCTGTATGTTCTTCCAATATCTGGCCTCAGGAAAAGATTCCCTTCTTCCAACCAGGACCGACTGGGTTCTCAAGCCAGACCTCCATTTCCATTAGATTTTGATAGCAATAAGAATCTCTGACATCCACGGGAGTTTCCTATTCCCCTAAGTGCTTAACTTTGTGTGTATGTGTGTGTGGCAGGGCGTGGGAGGGGAGGTTACCAGGAATTGAACTCAGGGATGCTTAACAACTGAGCCACATCCCCAGCCTTTTTTTTTTTTTTTTTTAAGCTGTCAAAAGCAGGCTTTATTATTATTTCTTTCAACTTTTAATATTTATTTTTTAGTTTTCGGCGGACGCAACATCTTTGTTTGTATGTGGTGCTGAGGATCGAACCCGGGCTGCACGCATGCCAGGCGAGCGCACTACCGCTTGAGCCACATCCCCAGCCCCCCTTTTTACTTTTTATTTTTGTGGGTGKGGAGGGGGTACTGGGGATTGAACTCAAGGGCACTCCACCCCAGAGCCACATCCCTTTTTTGTATTTTATTTAGAGATCGGTCTCACTAAGTTGCTTAGTGCCTTGCTTTTGCTAAGGCTGGCTCTGAACTGGTGACTCTCCTGCCCCAGCCTTTGAGCTACTGGGCATGGGCCACTGCACCTGGCAGGTGCTCTACATTTAATTGGAATCCCCCCACCTCCTTCACACATCTCCCTTGAGTTTTCACCTCTCTCCTAAAACCTGCCTGGTTTTTCTGTTTCTTCTCAGCTAGCACATCCCAAAATACCAACAGTTGCTGCCATACTCTGCTGTCTTCACCACTCGTCTATTCTCTTTACAATTGTTTCTGAATAGTCAGAAACCCTTGAGCTCTCCAGCTCATTCCCTGGCCCCTACTCTGCAGCAGATCCAACTGAGTCCTTCTGGAAGTGACCCTCGAACCTCCTACCACCTCCTGTGAGGAATTCTGCCTCCCTGTCCTAGTCCCTGGGTTACCCTCACCTCTGGGAATTCATGCAGATTCATGATTTCCTGCGTCCTTTCTATACTCCTTGCCCTTCCCGGGGGCACCTCTACTGCCTGAAGTCCACCTCCCACCAGCTTGGTTCCCCATGCAGATACCACAGTGTGCACCAAAAGCAATGGGGTAGGACTTAAGAGACATGTGAGTGTTCGTGYTATGGGGTTGTCTCATACCAGTAAGTGTGAACCTGTTTCACTGCCACATGATGGGGCAGCAGTCCCTGCCCTGCCCAGCCTATAGGATGTTGTAATCACCATTTGGAAAAACACAATTCTTTTCCAGCCTGTCTTTCACCAGATGGCACCACCCTTGGCCCCAGGGGAGTTCTGTGGCTGCTCCCCTTCTTTAGGCATTTTGAGCAGTTAGGTGAGTTTTTTCTCTGAGATGTCTCTAGAATTTTTACTTTTCTTTGAATTCCTACTCCCACCCCCTAGAACCTCAAATAGACTCCCTTCCTGGCTGGGCCAATTCATCCTGCACACCACTGTGTATCTCTGATAAGCCTCAACCCTTAGGGCAAATACACCTCCCTGCAGCCTGTCAGCAGTGGCCAAGCCCACTGCTGGCCCCCTGAACTGTGCAACCTTTCTTTAGCAGCCAACTCCACTGGTCCACTTGGGTCTGAAGAGCTTCCTGTTTCCTGCCTTCATCTGGGTAGTTCTACACTTCCTGTTTTTCTTTCCACCTCCCTAAACCCTATCCTGTCTTCAAAGCTTTCCTTATTTCTAACCTTCTTGTGATTTTCCCAGTTAGCCGTCTATGTGCACACACCAGCCCATGTGGCTGGAATAATGCTTTAGTTTTATTTATTTATTTTTAAACTTCTTAACTACAGCACAACTGCCCCATTCTCCATCTAGAATTCCCTTCCAGAAGTAAAAGCAGAGAACTTGGGGGGTCAGAGCCACACAAGTGTGCACAGCATGCAGGACCTTCCATCATTTCTGTTTCCTTCAGGTATAACATGAACTTCACACTTAACCCCATAGGACTGTCAATGAGGACTAAATGAGATAATAAGTGAAAATACCAAGCTGTGTCTTAGAGCAGAAATTTTTAAAATAGCAGAGGGCTGGGCTTGTGGCTCAGGGGTAGAGCACTTCCCTCACATTTGTGAGGCACTGGGTTCGATTCTCAGCACCACATATAAATAAATGAATAAAATAAAGGTCCATTAACAACTAAAAACAATTTATAAAAATAGCAGCTGAAATGTAGCCTGGGTTTTAATATAAGCTTACTGTAACAAAGGAGGCTGGGGCACTAGGGTCACCAGTTCAAAGCCAGCTTCAGCAATTAAAAAAAAAAAATTAGGCAAAACTGAAACTTCGGAGGCAGTGTCCACATTATTGTTTCTTATTTGCAAATGTTTATAAAACACTTTTCTCCAAAGAGTAAGGAAAATGTTTGTATTTTTTTGATGAATTAGCAGACAGACTTTCTTTTATGTGACAATGGGAACCTTAAGGCTTTCCCTTTTCCATTATGGGCTGCCAGAAGGTCAAGTGCAGATCTCCTCWCTGACCTGAGGGAGGCAGTGTGGTCTGGAGAATGAGCAGGAGTGCTGGGGTCACATGATGTAGGCTGAAGCACTCTTGGATAACTCGCTAGACCTCTCTGAACTTTAGTCTCTTCAGTTGTGGAAAAGGGATAAGAAAAATGATGAGGATAACAACTATTTTACAGGACTGGGTGAAACAATGCATTTAAAATATTTTATTATAAAGAAGTCAGGAAAGTTGACGATTAACAGCCTAGGATTTCTATTTTTCCCCCCTCTTCCCTTGCAATAATATGTGCATGTTATCTTTCAAACTTTGCTTTAATATAGCCTTAGTTTTATTATAAACATGTCTCTTAAATTTGCTATGATTCCTCCTCCCCCAGAAGTATGGAACACAAATGACAAAAATCATTCCTAAAAAGCAATCTCTCTAGAGGCAAGAGATCATATCCTTCTCTTGTTTTGTAAAATAACAGTTTACATTAGAAAAACATCAGCTGGAGTTTTTAGTTTTGGTTCCTATGCTAAAGCAAAAGGAGGTGCTTAATATTTTACTATTACTGTTCAAACAAGCTGAACTGTAGGTCAGACTGAGAATGGTCTAGAAAGGAATTTTTTTTTAAATTGGGCTTATACTGATAATGACTGATGATTTTAGTCGTTCATTCATTTTCTCATTTATCSAAGTATACACAGATACCGTATATACTTCGATACTCTGCTGAGCACTGGGTGATCCACACCAACACAGCATCCGCTCTACATGGAAGCTCCTCACAAGGCTGTGTGTGAGGCGGCTGTGTGGGAGAAAAAAAATCACCACATGTGGCAAGGGAGGTGCTAAGTGAGCAGAGGACGCTGTAAAGAGTCCTGTGGACAGTGTGCCCAGGCCTGAGGGAAACAGGAGAGGTGACATTCGAGGAAACTTGGGATTTCTTTAGTCAGCAGTGAAAGAGATGAGTTCTGGTGGAGAAAACACACGATGTGGTCCCTTCTGGTAACGCCAAGTGGTTCCATTTGCTCAGGGAAGAAATGGGTTAGAGAGCTACAAAGACAGGCTGGAATGGAAAGGGGTCAAAGAAGAGCCTGAAGCCTCCAAGTCACTTGGCTTTTTATCTTGAAGGGGAGACAGGCTGGCATCGGGACATCAGAGACATGACAGATCCAATCTGGCTCTTTCAAACATTGCTTGAAATGTCACGTGTTGCTGTGTCTGATGATTACTGAATCCTGTGGATACAGGCTCTGCAAGCAAGGACCATCTATTTGCTGCTGGAGGGATTCAGCTAGAACTTGCAAGAACATAGGCCAACCAGGATGTTATGAAGGGCAATCAAGTTCTGGACCAGGGCTGACCCAAGTGACCTTTAAAGTTCCTTCCCAAGCTGAGGTGCTGGAATTCTAAAGGAAGCCCAGTAGCTAAACTGATGTGAGCTGGGATCTGTGGTTAGGGAGCTTCTGGGCAGCAAATGGGTTAATGCTCAAATAACTTTTATATATGAATTAATGTGCAGAGCTGGGAGCCAAAATCTGTTCCATTAATTTTTCCATCCATTCCAGGAGCAGTTAGGTACACACAGTAAAGTTTATTTTGGTGCATGGTATACTTCACTCCATTAAAAATAAATTAATCAGCAAATTCCTGCCTGGCTCAGCTCTGGTTTATGTAAATAGTGCCCAGCTGTAATGAGTTACAAGGTGTTATTATCTCACACACACAGAGGAGGCTTCACTCTGGAGCTCCGCTTGCAACAAAAGCATCTTAAATAAACCAAGAGAAGGCGGTTTGATTTGTAATGTTTTCACAGAAGTGGGATATACCTCACCCGTATAGAGTTTCTTTATATGACTCATTTTATAGCAAGTTCAGTGAAGGACTTTTGATGGGGGAAGGAGGGGCAAGATGGTTCCCCGCCCCCTTTCTTCATTTTAAGAAAATCCCCCAAGAAATGATCCACACTCCGAGGGAGGAGGGGAACTGGTACTCCAGTGCTCAGACAAGGTGGCTCTGCAGCACATTTTCCAGGGTTGGAAAAGGGATAGAGAGCTTGGCATGGGACTGGGTAGAGGGAAGGTACAATGAGGCCAGGAAGAATGTTCTTTTTGCCCCCATATCTCATATAAGGGGAGGCCCAAGAGAGGAAAGACAGCATATTTTTCACTCCCTTCACTGGGGGTTAACAAAGGGACCTTTGTTCTTGAGGCCTCTTTAAATGACTTAGGATGCCACAAGCCCCCTTGGCCATTAGACCTCTCCAGGCTACCAGAGGATGGCCTGGCAGACTGTGTGTTGGCCAGAGTGACACATCTCTGAGAACCAGAGGCATCAGCAGCAGCAGAGACTATCTGACCTCTCCCCTCTCTCTCTTAACTGAGTTGGGCAGTGCTCCTTAGCCTATGGCATCCATCACCTCATAGAAATTCCTAAAAGATCCTGGAATAAATAAAAGCCATGGCAGAGATAAGTCTCTGTTTCTTTTAATGGCCAACTCAATCCTATGTCTCAAAGCTGGAGGACAGAGTGTGGCTACCCGTCTTGACCCGGCAGCATTGCAAACTGCTCCTAGGCTACAGCAAGCCATTGATAGAGGTATCTCCTTTCTAACCTACCCCAGCCCTTGGTAAGCCTCTAGGAAGAGCTGTCAGTCACAAGTGGTGCTGGAAGGACTTGGGGAGTATGTGCTTCAGGGTGCTCTTTCTTGGGGATCCTCTTGAGGATGTGTCAGAAGAGCTAGGGGTTTTCCCTGTACTATTACCCCCAAGCAGATCAGACTCCAGGGCACACTAAGAGGAAACAACATAAATGGGGCCAGGTATTTGACAGCTGCTGTTCAAAGGTCAGTTCAGGCCACTTTCTGCAGGATCCTGGGCCAAACAGGCACTTTTCTTGCTGAGGTTCCTCAAAGCCAGCTGGCCACCTGTCCGGAGGGACCAGCCTCTCAAAGACCCTCATCATTATAAGTGGGAGCATGGGGCTTCAGGATGCTCTGTGGATTCTTCTCCACCAGAGGGCGCCAGTTCACCTCCCCTGTGAGAAGCAGATCCTCACCGTTCATGGAGTCCAGGTACTGCATCTGCAGCAGGAAGAGCAGGGATCAGAGGACAAGGACAGGTGCTGGACACACAAAAGGTGGCATAATGAACCAGTTTCCTCAAGAAGAGGAAGGGGAGGGAGTCTGGGGCTTCTGACCATCCAACTTTCAGGCCAGGTGACTCTGATTTCCCAGATTATTACTTTAAGGAGATCTGGAGAAACAAGTCTGGGGGAAGAAGCTCCCTGGAAAGATTTTAGGGAATTCCCCAGCACACCTCTGAACTTACACACCCCAGTGACATTTATCCCCCTGCTGCACTCTCCCTACAAAGTTTTTGCAGGCCAGAAAGTCAGTCTGCAACTTACAGAAGTCACCCCATCCAACACTGCTGGGAGAAAAGAATCCCAATTTTACTCCTTCCCTTCTCGGAGATCTATGTTCCCTTGTTTGAGGGGGGACAGAATGTGTACCTTCATGGACATGTGGAAAGATAAAGTTACCTGCACAGAACTGATCACCCAAACTTTTTCTTTTTTCTCTTTTTTGCTAATACATATGCCTTTTGTCTTCCAGAGTGCCCCATCTAGGATGGGTGGGGAAGTCTGACAGAGCCTCACAGTTCTGCTGTTAGGATGGTCATCATCCCAGAAATGCCCCCTGCTGCTCTCCTATAGCTTTCACCACTGATCCTCAGTGTTCCTGCTGAAACTGGGGAAGGTGGGGTGGGAACCAAATGCCTATCCTTCTGCTCCCCACAAATGACAGATGTTCTGACATTTGGAGAAAGTGATCATGTCCACTCTGGGCTTTCTTCTAACTAACTTCTTATTAACCTCCAGCCCATTTGGCACTCGGAGGGTGAGCTCCAGTTGCCACTGCCCTGAGCAATGCCATGCCCCTGAATGCTTTTAGACCTGCCCAAGGACTCCAGGTGCACAACCCTCCATGTGGAGAAGGAACATCTATGATGCAGGCAAACAGAAGGAGCTTCAGGGGAAAGGGTGAGGCAGTTCTGCAAAAGACAGATGGGCTAATGAGGAGGTGAAAGCATCTCTGGAGGAGTCCCTGGCTGCCTGCTAGTAAGGAGGGCTGCAGATGGGAAATGCTTCCAAGTGGACAGCAACATCTCCTGTGAGAACTGGATCACAGCAAGAAGCACCACTATATCTAGACAGATGTGGCTTCCTTGGGGGAAAAAGAAGACCAGGAGCTTCATCTTAAGCCTAGGATTATATCCCTCTTCCAAGAACTTATCACTCTTATTGACTCATCTTCAGACTGCTGAACCTTGAACTCAACCCCAGCCTCTTGATATACTTCAGGTCTAGAATTTCACATGTCCTATGTCTTTTTCCAGGGCAAGAAGCTCAACTGAACTGCCATCTTTCCTAAAGTCCACTCCTCTTTCTAGTGACTACATTTCTGCCCCTAAGCTACCACTGCCTATCTTCTGAGTTGTAAACCTCCACATGACCCACACTGGTTACCAAGCAGCACCAGGAATAGGACTGGAGTCTGCTCAAGGTTCAGCTTCCTGATTTTCCTTGATCCACCTGGACAGAACACACCTCTCTCTTGGTCCTTCCCCAACACTCTGTCTACCTGGATCACAGGGCAGACTGACTCACTCCAGGACTAGCCATGTGCCTGACTGGCTCCTCAAATGCAGGACTAGGCCTAGTTAATCTGCTCTCCCAGCAATAGGGCCTGGCATGGCAAGTGCTCAAAGGCTTGCTGACAGAACTGGGTCCCCATCAAAGTTCCCTGCTTTCCTAAGGGCCCCATCACTGTTTTTCTGACTCTCACTGGGGCTATATAATAACTTCTATATAGGGATATTGGTTGTAACAACCCCTTCTTCGGGGTCCCTGGAGAGGTCCCAGCTGTGCCTTTGTTGTGTGTGGCCTCTGGCATATGCCCACCATGGCAGATGGAAAAGTTGGGTGGGTCTCTCAGAAAACAGCATTTGCTTTGCCAATTGCTACTCCTGTCTGAGGGCGAGTCCAGTTAACAGTGAGAGTCTCAGAATTCTCCGTGGGTGGAGCACTCTGGCCCCAGTGCCTTCTCCCTGGCTCTGACAGATTTGAATAGTCAAACAGAAGTTCTGGCTTCTGGGGTTCTCTACCCTCTGAGTCTGAAGAGCCTCAATATGTCACCTTTCCAGCAATCAACTAGGTAGTCCTATTGGCCATGACTGCAAAAGAGCCGATAGCCCTTCCTTTTCCCGACTGTTGGAGGTTTGAAGACCGTGGATACAGGTGAACCAGAGAACAACTGGGTGAGGCCCCTTCAGCCCCAGGGCCAGGTCCATGAAGCAGAGGTGTGACTCATGGGCAGCCAAGCTGATGAGCTGTCTGCAGCAGCTGAGGCCTTTAGTGGTGACATGAATCACCCAGCTTGGGGTCTGAGGCCAACTGTGTAAGCTGACTCACTGGGAGACCCTGGAAAAGCCTCCATGTTCTCCTGCTGACACTCGGCCTACTCATCTAGAAAGTTTGAGTTTCTCATCTTTATAGAATTTGGGGACAGGGAGATCAAGGARTTAATTCTCCATGGGGTTGAGAAAGCTGTGTAGTAATACAGTCCTTGCAGTGGAGCTTCTCCTAGAAGCTCTGGTGTCAGGGAGCCCTGGGGAGCTAGAGAGATGAGGACTTGAAGTGGGGAGACCCTGCTAGACAGTGAACAGCAGCCAGTGGGAAGATTCTGGGGGTGTATCTGTGGAATACTGCTTAGAACCTGGTCCTGCAAGTCAGGAAATGCATCCTGGGCTCTAAGTGGATATAGAAGGGGGCTACATAGGTGGGCCAATATGCCCCATGCTTGTATGTATCTTTCAGGACTCCGTGAGCCCAGCATTTAGTATAGTACCTGGCACATAGTAGGCAATGCAATGTGTAGAGTATGGATAACAACTACAATTTTCTGAAAGCAGGAAGTTACTCAGTGTCCTTCCTTCTCTATTATATTCCCTGGGTCCTTGGCCTAGTTCACAGCTAGACACACAGAGGATGCTGGCTCTTACTCGGTGCCTGCTGCTTACATGATCAAATCAGAATTCCTGCAGACAGGTCTCTGGCAACTCAGCCTCCCATGTTTCCCTAAAAGTCTAGCACCCATAACCTCAAGATGACCCACTTTTCAAAAGATTCTGCTGGGGAGTAAAGGGCACCCACCTGTTTCCTCACATATTCTACCAGCAATTCAAGCTGTCTGGGGTCTTCACATTTCTGGTTGAAGAAGGTTCTCCAGAGGGCAGCAGCCAACCCATGATCATCTGAAAGGATCCCCTGGAACACAGAGTATAACAACTAGTCTTCCAGAGAGTACTGCAGGGCCATGATACAAAAACTGGGGATATTGTGAACACAAGAAAAAACAAAGAACTGGTTCAGAAGGACCTCACAGAGACAGTGAGGGGGAAATGAGGCAGCTGCACCACAGAGCTGGAAAGGGTCTTACAAGAGCATTCAGTCCAACTTCTTCACTTTACACAGAGGAAAAACCTGGGGCCCAGAGGGTACAGGCTGAGGTGATGCAGAGCTGGGACTCACATTTGATTGACCCTCCCAGCACAACAACTCACCATGCCTGGCCCAGCCAATGACTGAGAGGCCAAGAAGAGAAATGGTAGCAGCAGTGCCTGTGCTGCTGCTCACAGCATGGCTGACAGTGTTTTGAGTGTTTTCCCAGGAATGGAAGTGGGTGTGGACTACACCTTCTTGCTTGGTCCAAGGGCACCCATCTATGAGGGTTCTTTCAAGGGAGCCAGGAACCTTGCCTTCACTGTCACTCACCTCTGGGTTGGCCTTGACTGGCCCAGCCTCTCCCTAAGTAGAGGAACAGGCTGTTCAGCAGGATTGCCATGGGCCACAGAGGGCCACCAAGGGCAATGTGCAGAGCCTGAATCTGTATATGCCTGAGACTGCCTCTCCTGACACAGAGAATTCTGCTGGGAAGCCCAAATATCACAGAGGCTAACTAGAGACATTTTCTAGCTTAGATCTCTCAGGGAGGGAGGGATGGAGGTGACTGAGGGAAAGGTCCTGGGAAATTGCTCTGTCTGTGGGCCAAAATAGTGTGTGGAACTGAAGTGCTGACTTGGAGTTGGAAGGCTGGATCAAGTCCTAGTTCTGCCATGCCAAGCTCAATGGTGATGGTTAAACCTGAGCCTCATACTTCTCAGCTATTAAAGAGATGAAAATACTTGCTCTACTTACAGCATCTTTGAATTATAAGATAATGTGCCAGGCATGGTGGTGCTCACCTGTAATCCCAACAACATGAGAGGCTAAGGCAGAAGGAGCTCAAGTTCCAGGCTAGCCTCAGCAACCTAGTGAGACTCCATCTCAAAAAAAAAAAAAGGACTGAGGACATAGCTCAGTGGTAGAACACCTCTAGTTCAATCCCTTGTAACAAAAAAAGTTTTTAAATAAAAATAAGATAATGTAAAGGCATTTTTTAAAGTATAATATGTTGAATACAAGCACTTAGAAGCATGCTGTAGCTGGCAGCTGTGGATACAGTCAAGACAACAGCAGGATCTGAAGCCAGACTGCCAGAGTTCAAATGTAGCTCTGAAGCTGGGTGCAGAGTCACACACCTGTAATCCCAGCACTCAGGAGGCTGAGGAGGGAGGATCACTTAAGCTCAGAAGTTTGAGGCCAGTCTGGACAACATAGCAAGACCCTTTCTCAAGAAAAGAAAAAAATAAAGCTAGCTCTGTAATTTTTTTTTTTTTTTAGTTGTTGATGGGCCTTTTATTTTATTCTTTTATTTATATGTGGTGCTGAGAATTGAACCCAATGCCTCACACATGTGAGGCAAGTGTTCTATCACTGAGCCACAATTCCACCCCTAGCTGTTACTTGATGGCTGTGTGGCCTCTGAAAAGTCATTAACCTTTCCTGAGCCTCAGTTCTCATGAGTAAACAAGAATAATCCCCTTCCTGAGCCTCAGTTTCTCATGAATTAAACAAGAATAATTCTCATCTCATAGAGCTACTGTAAGCATTAAAAGACAATACCTGTGAAAGGCTCTGTAAGTGGTAAACATTGCAAAGACCCAGGAGCACTTGTTCCATTTTATTTGATGGTCTGGTCTCTAGGGCACTGTGGTATTTGAGGTCTGGTTCCAGGCCTGCTGCCAGGAAGGGCCATGTTCAGTGTGGGAAGGTGACAATTTGGTGGAAAAGTATTCCACCTGCTCCAGACACCCTCTACTAAATACCTCACAGTCCCACAGCTGAAGATTGTCCTGGCAACAGGGCTGAGTCAGGAAAACACGCTTCTTCTGGCAGATGGCAATAGGGACCCAGGACAAGCTTAGGCACATCACCATTCTCCAAGCTATTTGCTAACACAACACCCTGCCTTTGTCTAGAGTGCCCTGGGCACAGGCTAGAGTGTTGCTGGCAGAGAACCACATGCGTAATATGTGAAAAACTGAGAATGGGAGTGGGTATCACAGGGACTTGAAGAATTTGCAGAGCCCAGGACAGGAAGATCCTGGCAGCCATGGCCTGCTACAAACAGGCAGCCTCAATTGGTATGCAAGAAGGCTGGGGAAGGGAAAATCCATAAGCAGGAATTTCTGAGCAATTTGAGGAAGACTCAGGACTTGATAACAGTGCCAACAACCTGACTCTTCCAGATCGTCAGGGTTCCTTCATGCAGACGGCTCTTAATGAGTACATATGACATGTAGCACAGATACTATTACCCCCATGTAAAAGATAAGTACTGAGGCTCAAGAGTTAGTTAGCTAATTGGTGATGGAAGTAGATCCAGCTAGCACTGCTGAGGTCAGTGCTGCTGCCTCACTCTAGGCATGATGTAGTACCTGGCACACAGTGCAAGTGATCAGAAAATAGCTGATCACCCACAGGACTGCTAGTAACTCAGTAAAAACAAATGGGAGACTGGCCTGGGAGTGTAAATTTCAAATAAAGGAAGCAGAAAAGGAAAAGGGGTGCTTAGGAGCTAAGCATTTGGTTGCACAATTTTCCTCATGACTTCTTTCCCTCACAATACAAAGAGAGCATCCCTTCAGGAAATTAAGATACCCTGGTGGAAAGAAACTGAGAGGAAGTCAAGGGGCTGTCCTGGCACTAGTGGATCTGGTTACAGTGATGGGTTTAGAGCGGCAGAGTTTCACTTGGATGAGACTGATTTAACACTACTGTGCACTTAGCATGATACTAAGAACAGAGTCAAAGTAACCTGGGCTCAGCTCTCAGGGAGCCTGCAATCTTAGTGGGAGGGGAGGGACAAAGCTAGTGCACATCAAACAGCTGCACAGAACGAAGYTGGAAAGAGTGAACAAATGCTAAGCTGCATGGTAGACCCCAACCTATGGACTGCACAGGACCTCCTTATTCTTCAGCCTTAGATCTCTGATGACTCCTCATTCCCCTGTTATTCTCTATCACTGCATTCTATTTGTAATTAGACATTTATTTACTTGTTTACTTGTTGCTTGTTTACTGTCTGCTTGTCTCTCAGTAATAAGGTAATTTTTGTAGGAAAGAGACCATGTTTACTTSATTCACCAATGTATTCCCAGTGCATGGTAGACACCCAATAAACACATGCTAAATGGACAGGAATGTTGAAATGTGGAGTCAAAGCACCAGAGATCTAAAAAGGTCAGGGAAAGTTGTGGAGACATGAGCTTTAAAGAATGGGGAAAATGTAGACAGCTGCAGGACACTGTAAGCAAGAGAGAACATTAGTGCATTAAATATACACACAGGGCTGGATGTGGTGGAACACACCTGTAATTTCAGCCACTCAGGAGGCTGAGGCAGGAGGATGAAAGTCTGAGGTCAGCCTGAGCAACTTGGCTGGCTTCAAATGCTGTCTCAAAAGAAAATTAAATTTAAAAAGGAGAGGATAGCATGGTGGCCTACAGTTATAATCCCAGTGACTTGGAAGGCTGGATCACAAATTTGAGGTCAACTTGAACAACTTAGTGAGACCTGTCTCAAAATAAAATTTTGTGTGTGTGTGTGTGTGTGTGTAACACAGACACACACACATATGTATTTATACATACACACATATATAATATAGTGTGTGTGTGTGTGTATATATATATATATATATATATATATATATATATTTAAAGGGCTGGGCTCAGTGACCCATGCCTATAATTCTAGCTCAGGAGGATGAGACAGAAGGACCCAAAATTCCAGGCTAGCCTCAGCAACTTAGCAAAG